ACTCAGCCAGGAGAGACCTGTGTTCCTTCAAATGCAGATGGAGGATGGGAAGGGAAGATGCTCTAGAGAGCCAGGTTCCTGAAGGAGGTGGGGAAGGATAGAGACCCCATTCTGGGGAAGTTTGAAGAACAGGGCTACATGACAGCACCTTGTGTCACAAATTGTCCTAATACAGTGAGGCCTTGGTCCTGACTGATTGGTGGTTGAAGCAACTTTTTTTAACCTTAATGCCTGGGATGGCTGTGTGCTTCCAGTGGCTTCTTGTGAATGAATGCTCTGTAGCATTCAAATGAAAACCAAAACTGATACCGAGAAGCTTGTTAACTGCTTCCTCTTATCAATTATGAACTGACTCATAGGAGGTAAAATTCACAACCCCCAACTGATAGGCTGGCCAGGCAGTTTATTAGACTTATTGATTTGGGTGGGTTAAAAAAAAAAAGCACAAACTGCTTATCATCTTACTACCTTCACCCTGCCTCTTGCCTGTTTCAGTTTTGACTGTCTAAATTATATCCCACAGCTTAATATTGCTGGAAATGGTTTCCTAGGTTTTCCTGAAAATCTTCCCCAGACACTGAAATCACAAACCCCTTACTTCAGATGCACCCTACTACTTTCTTTTTTTACTGGTACTGGGGTTTGAACTCAGGGCTTCATGCTCACTAGGCAGGTGAGCCATTCCACCAAGTCCTGTGTGCGTGTGTGTGTGTGTGTGTGTGTGTGTGTGTGTATGTTGGGTATTTTTGAAATAGGGTCTTGCAAACTATTTGCCCTCAATCATCCTGATCTCTGCCTCCTGAGTAGCTGGGATTACAGGTGCGAGCCACCAGCACCCAGCTAAACAGTACTTTTCTTCAACTGGGTTGAAGCCAGGAGGAATAAAGGTGTTCAAAAGACACTTCTTGCCAGGTGCAACGGTTCACACCTATAACCCCTACTACTCAGGGGCACAGATTAGGGAGCATTGAGGTTAAAAGCAAGCCCAGGCAAAAAGTTAAGAAGACCCCCATCTTAACAAATACACCTAGCATGGTGGCAAGTGGCTGTCATTCCAGCTACTCAGCATGAATAGGAGGATCAAGGTCCAGGCCAGAGAAAAAAGCAAGACCCTATCTCAAAAAATACCAAGTCAAAAAAGGGCTGGAGGTGTGGCTCAAGCAGTAGAGCACCAGCCAAGCAAGCTTGAGGCCCGAGTTCAAACACCAGTACTGCTCCTCCCAACAAACAAACAAACAAAAAGACACTACATAATGGCAGGTTGAATTCTGTGTTCAAAATGGCAGTGAAAGTCATGAGCAGGATCTGATTCCATTTGCCCTGGACATCTGCCCTCACAGGGGATATACACAGAGAAGACAGACACAGCTGTGTGTTTGTATGTGCACAAGCATGCACATGTGTGGACACCTTCACATACTTTCCACCACCCCTACAGTTCACACTTCAGTTTCCTTAGCTTTGGCTTCTCTTGGCTCTGCTCTTTTTTCTTTTTGGTAGTATTAGGGATTAAACTCAGGGCCTCACTTCCTAGGCAGGCATTCTATCACTTGAGCCATGCCCCCAGCCCTGCTCTTTTTGTCTGCTCTTTTGTATATTCTTTCCTTCCTCCTACAGAGAACTGATGAGCTGGTCTTTGTAAAGTCCTTAGGATAGAGTTTTGTACTTGGTAAGCACTAAGTCATTAGTTAGTGTTTTTATTTTTTTTTTGTGGGATGGGGTTTGAACTCAAGGCTTCATGCTTGCAAAACAGGTGCTCTACCATTTGTCCCACACCTCCAGTTCATTTTGCTCCAGTAATTGTAGAGGTGGGGTCTCAAGAATTATTTTCTGGGGCTGGCCTCGAACCACAATCCTCCAGATCTCAGCCTCCCAAGTAGCTAGGATTACAGGCGTGAGCCACAAGCGCTCAACTGCTAGTGTTTTCATTACTGCCCACTTACCAGTATCTCCAAGGCTCTTAGCTTTAATTTCCCAATCTTCACCATCAGCCCTGACCTTCCTAGTCACTCATGAGACACCAAGCAGCGGTCCCTGTAACTTCCCACATGAGAACACCCCTACCAGCTTCTCCTTGTCACTTCCCCATTGTCCTGGTCTTTCTGGCTCAACACTTGCAGAATGGTATCACAACTTAAGACAATGGCCCCTTGCTCTCACCCCATTCCTAGTTCAGGGCCTGTACATCTCAAAGGGCCGGGAATATCATAGCCAAAGTCATTCCTGGGTTGAGTCCTAGGAATGGGTTCTCCCCAACTGCATCATCTTGAAAATGGCCTTTATTTCCTAGACAGACACTTCCCCAGACCCAGGGCCCAGAAGAGGCCTTGCAAATGGCTGGCTCAGTAGCAGGGGATGGGGTGTGAGGAAAGGAATATGGATTGAAGCCCAAGCAGCTGGAGAGGACCATGGCCAAGCATGAGCACACTTTGTCATCAAGCTCCAGGGAGCCCAGAAAAGGTCATCAAGGATTGTGAGAAGGGATTACACCATTAACCTCAAATTCACGCAGGCTTCTGCAGGCCTTTTCCAAGAAAACTGCACCCAAAGTACTGTGTATTCTTTGCTGGTCTGGTGGAATACATGTTCTTGGGGCCAGTGGGTGCCACTGTCTGAGAGGGACTGAATGCTGAGACCCCAAAACCCTGCAGACTCCAAGCCTGGGACTGTCTGAGAGGACTTCTGCATCCCAGTAGGCAGGAACATTACTCAGGCAGTGAGTCTGTGGAGTGCAGAGAAGATGTCTTCAACCTGAGGAATTGGTAGATTACAAGGGCTGGGTTCAGTAATGAATGTACGTGAACGTACAGGTGACAGGATGGTTAGAATACAATGCTTTCTCCCAGCTACTTCCCCTCTTACCACTGGTAAAGAACCAGATGAGCAAATCTAGTTATTTTTGGAACTTCCTTAGAATCTGGAGGGAAAGTACTGGAACTGTGAGTACTCCCTGTGCAGTTTTATATGCTATGGTCAGATTAAAATGTTTTACTCTCCCCCTGCCCCCAAACCTGCCTCCCAAAAAGGCTCAAACAGGAGGCAAGAGGATGGAATTCAGATCCTGCCCTACCACCAGGGTGCCTGCCCCACCAGGGTTGTTTCCTTTCTCTCTCTGCCTGGCTTCTCAGAGCCTGCGGATCTTTTCTCCTTGGCTGCACTCACCATTCCTGATTCGTTCCTGATCTGTTCTGGCCAGATGGCAGACCCTCAGGACATCTGCAATAGGCTAAGACCTCTCTGTCCTGGTCCTGGTCCCATCTTACAAAGGACCTGAGATTCTAAAGGAGACAGCCATATGCCATTTGTTAAGCATGCCTCTCCCACAACTCCTATTCCCTATGCACAGTATCAGTCCCAAGCCCGCAGTGGGCTGCTTGGGCGGCCTCATCCCAGAGCCCAGCACCTTGTAATCTATGTGTAAGAAAAATACCAGAAAAGGGATGTCATTGTGAAGTATTTAGTGGGTCTGGGCTTATATGATGCTCTTAAGAACTTTAATAAACCAACAAGGGAGGAAATCGTGTCAATACAGTCTCATGTAGGCTGGGTGCAGGTCTGTAACCTTAGCTACTAGAGAAGCTGAGGCAAGAGGACTGCAAGCTCAAGGCTTAGCTGAGGCAATTTAGTGAGACCCCTTCTAAACAGAAAACAGAAAGTGCTGGGGATGTATCCCAGTGGTAGGGTGTCTGTTCAGCATGTGTGAGGCCCTGGGTTCAAACCTGGGTACGCCCTTCCTCCAAAAAAAGAAAGAAAAGAAAAAAGTGATAACTTCAAACAAAACATTGTCCTGGGCTTCAGTGTCCTCATCTAGAAAACTGATGCCTACTTTACAGCACATAAAGCCATGTGGAGGTGCCAAAAATTAGCAGCTATGTTCTAAGCACTTAAATCTCCTAGACACTCAGTCCTCCTTCAACCCTCCCTCCCTCAAACTACCTTATTGTTTGTTTTGTAAATGAGAGAAGGGGAAAGCTCAGTGATTTGTTCATGTGAACCACAGGGCTGTGTCAACTAAGTCACTGAGCACTGAGTAGCTAGGTGTGCTGGGTACGAAAGGGAAGAGGTGCCAAGCAAGGGAAAGGTCCCCAGGGGCCGGGGCAGCAAAACTGGGCTGCACCAAGGGAGGTTTCCCTGAAAAGGCAAGGCAGGAAGTAGGGAGGGCTGAATGCCCAATACGGGGCTGAGGGGACACCTCACACCATAGTATCCTTTCACTGGCTCAAAAACAAGCCAATTTACACCTGCCAAGGAAATCACCATACCATAATCGGGCAGTGGTGGTATGCCTGTAATCCTAGCTACTCAGGAGGTCGAGATCAGGAGGACTGAGGTTCGAGGCCAGTCCCAGCAAATAGTTCACAAGATCCTACCTCAAAAAAAAAACACAAAACAGGATTGGCAAAGTGGCTCAAGTGATAGAGTTCCTGCTAGCAAAGCCTAGCAACTGTGTAGGCCCTGAATTCAAACCCCAGTACCAAAAAAAAAGAAAAAAAAGGAATCACTATAAAACCTCAAGGCTGTGTAAGTCCCAAGGAGAAAACAGACTGGCTTTGCCCGTGCCCTCTCGCTCTTTACCCAAAACTTCAGATGAGGGCTGGAGGTATGGTTCAACCGGTAAAGTACCTGCCTAGTAAGCGTGAGGCCCTAAGTTCAAGTCCCAATAATACAAAAAAAAAAAAAAAAAAAAAAAACCCAAAACTCCAGACAACAACCCACAGTGCCTCTTTGCCTTGAGCCAGCCCAGAAAGTGTTTCTGGAACAAGATCTTTCCACAACAGAAGTGAGAGCCCACCTAGCAGCTTCTAAAAGCCTGGTCTTAATTTTCTGATTCTTGGAACATCAAACTTGAAGCTCTATAAAGATTTGATGGTGAGCAGAACTGGCCTCAACAGTTGCCCAGGTCTTCTAAATACTTCAAAACTGCATCCTTCACTATGAAAAGAATGTCCAATGGGCTTTTCTCCCCTGCTCCCACCTTCCACCAAAAAGCCAAACCATGCTCCAAAACAAAAACCAAATTTATTCAGCAGACATTTTAATTAAGAAATCCTATAAATCAGGACCACCACAGTTTCAGACACTCCGTTGCGAAGTGTACGGTCAATAGCTACATCTGAAGGATGAACAAGCCATTGAATCTTTAAAAAATTGGTTTAGCTACCTTAAAGTTGGGAGAGGACGGCACCTTACTAAAGCGCCATCAAGATTCACAAGGGTAAAACCAGTGGTTTCCCCTTCTGAAGAGTCACATTTTTAAAAGGTTTCAGTCACTCACAAAGAGTTGGTGGGTGAGGAGCCACAGAGTCTCAGGCCTGTGGCTCCAGAGGCCATAACAGAGAAGAATCTAGGGCTTTCACCCAACCCCACAGACACCAGAAAAAAGGAAAGCTGGTCAGGAGGACAGGAGACTTTTTTATGACCGTTTCTGAGAAAGCTGGTGGCAGGGCCAAGAGTGGCCTAGCAGAAGGAGTTCTGGAAAGAGTAAAGCACAGAAAAAACAAATAACTCTTCCTCATACGTCCCTCTCTGTCTGAGTGTCCTTGGGAGACTCCAAGTAGTGGCAAAGCAGAGAGGGCTCTTCTTGGAGCAAGAAAAAGAAAATACACCCGGGATGAATTAGCTCTTCCAGGAACACCACAGCCTCTCTTTTATAGTAAACCTGACCTTGAACCACAGGAGGCAAGGTCAAGTCATTTAAAAGTCCACATTCAAATTCAACTCTCCCCACCTTGAAAATTCTCCACCTCCCTCCTGGCCCCATCTCCAACAGCCACCAAGAAGGAAAAGGGGATGATGCCAATCCACCGAAGGCCAAAGGTTTACATTCTTCTTCACCCCAGAATTTCTTTGCACAGCAATTGTAGCACCATTTTCAGGAAGCTCCTCCACCGGAAAACAATGAGCAAAACGTATGCTTATCATTAGTTTTCAAGTATTGTTAAAAAGCCCTCACAATTCCCACCCCTCCGAGCCTCATCTTTAAACAATCCAAGCACACGACGTCCCCAAGGGCTAAGTCAGGTACAAGTGGATGCAAGTAGCTGCCATAGTTCTCCCAGTTTATCCCAGGTCCTCGGCCAGGTGACAACAGAGAAATCCTCACGCGGCATGCAAGCACCCTGGCCGGTGCACTTCTCTACACTTTACGTTTTCTCCGACAACTTCTCGGCTGGATGTCACTCCCCAAACGCCTCCCTGCAGTGTGGGCTGTCGCCCCCCAGATTAGAGACAACGGCTTCTGCTCAGGGTTGATGGGAGCAGGACGCTATTGAGGTCCGAGCAGCAGGGTTCTCTTCCTCCTCCAAGGGTACGGGTCAGAGCAAGGCGCTCGAGGTCTGCAGGGTGACAGGGTCCGGTCCGTTGCGGCCGCCTCCCGGCCCAGAGGCGGTCGCGGGGCTCGTGGCTGCAACCGCGGCGACGGCTCGCTGGAGTCTGCGCACGGCCTCCTTGATGAGGTTTCCCGAGAGCACGAGCTGCTGCAGAAGTAAATGCGGATCATCGTCGCCGGTGTGTGACCCCGTTTGGGTCCAACGTCGCTGCTGTAGGCGCCGAGAGGCGACAGCGCCCCGAAGCCATCCTCGCCTACATGGTCCGGGCAGGGCACCGGGGCCTGCAGGGAGCTCCGCCACGCAGTAGGGCGCAGCCCGGCCTCGCACGCGGCCACGGTCCCCGAGGACGCAGCGCAGGGCTCCGGGAGGCGCCGGGGCCCCCACCTCGGCAGGCGCAGGCGGTAGCAGCAGCGGCATCGTCGGGGGCCGAGCCTTGTCTGCCGGTAGGGCCGCGGGAAGCCAAGGAGACCGCAGCGGCGGCCCTGGGGGCGCACACGGGGAGGCCGGGCTGTCGTGCGCCGCGTCCAGCTGCAGCGTCTCGCCGATCTGGGCCACCAGCCGGTCCACCTCGCCCGAGCCGCCCAGCGTCACCGACTGCTCCAGCAGGAGGAAGCTGTCCTCCTCCTCCTCCTCCCCCTCCGCTTCCTCGCCGGCTTCCTCTTCCTCCTCCCTCCGGCACGGCATGGCCCCCCGCCCGGGCACCCGGGGCTGTGCGGGCGTCGCTGGTGGCTCTGCTGCCCGCGGGTTCGGCGGGCCGCGACAGAAGCGGGCGCGGGGCCGAGCTGAGGCCGAGGCCGGGGCCGGAGCCGGAGCCGGGGGACGAAGAAGCCGGGTCCGCCGGGCACTAGCGCGGCACGCTAGCTGCCGCGGGAGCCGGAATCCTGCCGGCTCGGGTTGATTTGTAAACAATGGGTGACGTCGCGCGGACCGTACCATCGCGCGGAGCCGGGGGAACTCAAGAAAAGGCGTTGGGACGCTGAGCTCAGCGGAAGTCGCAGGGCTGCGGCCCAGGCCCTCTGGTATTTGTGCTCATTGTCCGTCACAGAGGGAGCACCAGGACGAGGAACAGCTCCTATTCAGTCCTGGCCTCATATGCAGTGTGAGGAGATATACACCCCGATGTGGCCGCATTTGGCTTCTTCCACTCACCGACACACCCACTCACACGCCCAGCCCCTCCTCCGCCGGCGCCTGCTCCCTCCCCACGTGTCGGCAACGCTTGCGCCCGCCCGGCTCCTCCCCGCTCGCTCACCGGCCCGGCGCGGGGGAGGGGCGGCCCCACCCGCGCGCCAGCTTTGAGGGGTTGGGGGCGGGGAAAGGAGGAAGGAGTTGGGGTGAGAGAAGACCCTTTTAGGGAGTGGGGGATCTGTCGGAGCCGGGTCTCTCATCTACCCCACCCCGTCTCCCACTCTTGAAGCCCCCATCCAAATCTAGTAAAGGAGACACACCGCATGGCTACATTTGACTTTTCTTTTTTTAAGTTCCAAAGAGAAATACAGGGGTTGGAAAAATTTCTCATAATCGTAAGACTCAAGCGTGGTTAAAATAGTTTTCCTTTCCAGCCTTTTTTCCATACAAGCACTGTATACACACAGCCACGCACACAATTGTTATGCACTCTTTAACTTCACATTACATCATAACCGTTTTTGCGAGTTACTGCATGTACTGAAAACATTTTCATGATTGCGTAAGTTCCCACTAAGTGCCTGTAATTATTTAAATTCCTTCGGCATTTGCTGTTTGCCTCATTTCACCGTTGTAAATAAGCGTGTGACTAACATTTTTGTCCAAATAACTTTTTCATATTTATGATTCTTAGAGCATATTCCCAGGAGTGGAGTTTTAGGTGAAAGGATAGAGTTGTTTTAAGGTTTTTGATAAATACATCAGATAATCACTTCCAAGAATTGGATAAATGTATTGTCCTATCAATGTGTGAGCATATATTATTCCTTATAGCCTTCACTAGAATTTGAGTATTATTGAAAAAAAATTTTTTTGATTTCACTGGTGAAATTGATATCTTTCAGTTTACATATCTTTGATTTTAGAGCAGTTTTCTAAATGTTTGTATAGGTAGACTATACTTTCAGATCATTTCTATAGCTCATTTCTAACAAACTGAATGTTAGCCAACTGTACTTCCTTTTTTGTAAATTGTTCCCCAAATACATTTTTCCTGTGGAGTGTTTATGTATTTGCATGACTTCACTACATTCCAGAAGTTAGCCCTTTTCCCTCATATTTTGCTACAAATGTTTCTTATGTTTTTTGTTGGCTCTGTATGGTCATTTTTCCCAGAAAAGCTGAACACATATTAATGCAGTCAAATCTATAAAATCCCTTCCTTTCAGACTTCTAACATGATGCTAAATTTAGAGACTCCTTGCCTCCAGAAAGTTATTAAATATTCAGTTCTATTTCTTTTTATGTTTTTCTAATGCCTTGGTTTTTTTTTCCCCCTAAATCCATCTTTGGTTCAGGGAATTGAGATTAAATAATTGATTGATTGATTGATTGATTTTTTCCTCAGCGAGCTTGCCAGCCAGGGCTGTATTTCCCTGCTAGGACAGAGGTGTGTGGGTAGTATACACTTGTACACAGAGGCCCTGTCCTGTGGGTTCCCAGTTGCTGGTTAAACTGGTGATGCGAGGATGAGGTGGGGCTGGGAATATTTTGATCAGTCTCTTGTGTGGAGTCAAAAGAGTACTATATCCTGGGTGTGGGACTCCTGGCAAATCAGTTTACAAGTGTTTTCACTTGTAAAATGGAAAAAAATAATCCCTGCCCTGCCTCCCTCTGAGGATTGTTTCCAGGATCAAATGAGATGATGGGATCGGGCTTTGCCAGGCATTACACAAATGTACCTTGGGATTAGGTCCAGTGGTTTACTGAAAGAGGCCTGGCTCTTTTCCAGCGAGACCCCCCCCCAAAAAAAAAAACAAAACAGCTAATATATTAACAATAAACGTTCCATCTTCAGTCCACTGGGTAAAATACACCCTGAAGGCACTACTTCCTTGGACTGGCCTGGTCCTTCGAATTCTGCCTCCTTTCTATCTCCACCTGGGATTGTTTTGAACCTTCTGGAAGGCAGCCCACTGGCTCCCATATCCCGTGGTGTTTCGCCACAACTAGTTCTGCAGGTTTGGGTGAAGGCCGCTTTCTCAGCTGGCAGCTCCCTCCTCCATCTGCTTGTAGGGCTCTTTGCGCACTTTACTGATGAGAATTAGACTCCATTCCCCTGGAGAGAGAGAGAGAGAGAGAGTCTCATTTTCATTCTGATGGTACTTACTGGAGAATTTCAAGGGGAATGAAAATTAGGGGAGAGTTTATGGATTTCAGTAGAGTTAAATGGTAATTTTTTTCCTGCTGTCTGTAAAATGATGTCTGGTTGTAAGGAGAGAGAAGCAGTTTTATGCTCCATTGACTTTAAACATTAATGGGTCTGGCAAAGCAATTGTCTCTAACCTAGCATCTCTGGAAGTTGTTTTGTCTTCCTGTCAGGGTAATTCCACTAGTATTCTTGCTACTATAGGAAATGGAGCTTTGAGATGGCATTCTTTAAAAAAATTTTTCGCTTTGTAATGTTGCTTTTATATGAAGATTGCTGTGTAAATACGCCAGGATGTGGATATTGTGCTGTTCATTATAGAGATGAATGCATTACAGGAGGCCCGCTCCATTTGTTGGGCCACTACTCTGGAGAGCTCTAAGAGAGGGAAATGCTGTGCTGGGCCAGTGGGAGGCGGAGGAATGCCGTGGATTAGGAAGCAAAATACAAGATGCCAGAGAGGCTCAGATGCAATTAAAAGTAATGAGAAGGTATCAAAAGGAAAGCGATGAGAGCTTGTGGGCCTGCACTGACCGCCTGCCTGGAAAGAGAACAGATGCTGAGAGCATTCAGAAGCACCTGGGGAGGAACACAGTGTTCAAGGGCTATCTACGTTCATATAGACCACGTGGAAATCCTTTCCGAGGAGTTTCTTGCCACCAGCTAGGATAACATGGGATGGACATTTGGTTGGAATCCCTCTTGGATGGGGTCACTTCATCCTTCTTGTCTCTGGCCCCTAATCTGTACCATTGGGATGCTGTATTCTGGAAGGCTCATGATTGGCTGGCCCTGAGGGTGGTGCTGGAGTTGAGTTAGACTCTAGGGAGCAGAAATACTTTCAGAGGTATTCCATTTCAAAAAGGGCAAATTCTACGCTGTGGTCCCTTGGTGGATGAATGGATAAATGAATTGGGATGTACTCACACCATGGGGTACTACTCAGCCATAACAAAGAATGAAGTACTGACTTGCTGCAACATTGTTCTCTAAAACACTAAGCTAAGTGAAAGAAACCAGGTACAAAGGCTCACATACTGCATGATTCTAAGTGTATGGAATATCCAGAATTGGTAAATCCATAGACATAAAGTGCAGATGAGTAATTGATTAGGGCTGAGAGGTAGGGGCAGGAATTGGGATAAGGTAACAACTCCTAATGGCTGAGGGGTTTGCTTTGGAGTTATGAAAATTTCTTGAAACTTGATAGAGGTGGTGTTTATGTTGAAGTTTTGCTGATGATTCTAATCAGATTTTGGTCCTTGCACTCTGGCGATGAGGAATCCAAGCAGAACACGTGGATATAGTGAGGGAAATAATGGAATTCTATTATAGGAGGGGGAGGGGATTACAGGTGGGGTTTCAGCCAGGTGGAATGGAGGCACTGTGTGCAGGAAAAAAAAAGGGGGGAGGATTAAGGCAAAAGCTCTACCACTGAACTACACTCTCAGCCTAAAATGGTAATGTGAATTCCACCTAAATAATATATATATATTTCTTTGTAATTGGAGCTAATGACATCTTCAATGTTTGCAAGGCAGGGCTGATCTTTTTCAGTTTTTAGGTCACATTGAAAATGCCATGTTGCCTTGTTCCTCACTCCAGTTACATGTTTTTTTGGGGTGGGACTAGGGTTTGAACTCCAGACTTTGGGCTTGCAAAGCAGGTGCTCTACCACTTGAGCCACACCTCCAGCCCATTTTGCTCTGGTTGTTTTGGAGATTGGGTCTCACAAACTATTTACTAGTGCTGGCCTTGAACCATGATCCTCCTGATCTCAGACTCTCAAGTAGCTAGGATTACAGAGGTGAGCCACTGGTACCTGGTCCAGTTACATATTTCTTTTTTTTTTTTTTTTTTAAGATTTAAAAAATTTTTATTTTATGTGCAAATGTGGTCTTTCATTGAGTGGTATAGTCTTGGATAATCCATTCAGGGAAGATCACTTAGTCCAACTTAATGAAGTCGATGTCCTTCGTATACTGACAGAAATGCTGTGGGCACATGTTGAGCCCCTACTTCTGGATCAGACTCTGTGGGTTTGAGCAGACGCTGCAAGAACGAGATCCCTGGCCGAATTTTCTCAGGTGACTTCAATAGAGCTGCTGGTGACCCATCTTGCCTTCAGACACCCAATGAAAAGAAGACCCAGTTACATATTTCTTGTGGCCAGGGTGAACTGGGTTGCTGTCTTCCTTCAGCATGGAAGTGACTGCTGGTGCAGAGGCAGCCAGAGGGCCATTGTAGGCCTGATAAGCTTTCTTTGGGTCTTCCAGGTCACTGGCCTCTCTCCTTTGTGCTAAGGATGTAAGTTAGGAAAATGATTGTTTTTAAGAAAACTACTATAATAGTAATCATGATTAAAATTTACCACAACTAAGCCCAGCTTCAGCCTCCTGAGTAGCTGGGACCACAGTTGCACAACCAGATATCCGGCCAAGTTCTGAGCTTAAAGCTCAGACCTGTCTAGATGGTCCCCACAATGAGGATACTGAGTGGTTCCATTCCCTCCCATTTCCCATGTTCCCCTTTGTTGT